TTTCAGGGCGGCATTATAGAATGGAAACTTTGACACAACCTTAATTATAGGCTAGTGCTGCTGTAATATAGCTCCTGTACATAGGTCAGAAAACTTCCTGAGCATGGTATGATGTTCCAGCATGTACTTGCTGAGGAGCAGTTCTAATGGCTCACTGCTGATTAAGGAGAGTGTTTTAGCAGTCAGATTTTTTTTATATGAGATTAAAAAGAAGGTTCAGTATATGGTGCTGTTAATCTCTCTGCCAAATTGCATTGTGTGGGAGAGACATTTAGCAAGAACTTTCCATGCTCTGTCAGTCTGTGGAACAGTCCAGGGAAGGAACTAGCACTGATTTGGGCAAGTGTTGTGCGGGTTAGTAAGTACCCAATCTTTTCTCTCCACGAAGCTTGGCAGTGAATTAACTCATCCACATGTCCTGTAACTTCCTTCTATTCCCAAAGGTTTCCAAAAGGAATTTGGATAGTAGTACTGCTCTATATTTGATCTCTCTGCCCTGACTTCCCTTATACACTTGACACATTGCCAAGGGCCATCTTGAAACGTATTTTGTGCCTACCTGAATTTTCTGTGTCAGGAATGTCAATGCGGAAGCAAGATGTTGCTGTCTTGTTTTGAGGGTACATTGGTCATCAGATATCAGGGTGGTTGAGGGCTGTGACGTGTGTGGGCTGTGAGGAGGGAAGAGATTAAAAGCTATGATTAATTGTTTTTTCACCAGTGATGATGTGTGAAACACATTGCAAACATCAGGCTCCAAAAGGTCTCTATCTCAGGCAACTTGGAGCTACAAGTCTGAGAACAGGACAAGACTTCTAGGCATGTGAGAGAAGACACTGAGGAGGCCAGAAAGAGTATCACTGAGCAGAAGTGAGGTGTTGATAGAAACAGCCCATGTCTGTGGCTTGGCTATGAGTTCCTTGGTGTGGAGGAAGATTTCAGAGCTATTTAAGAGAACACTTTAATTTTTAAAGTCCTGGTGGAAATCAATTTATTATACCCTAAGGCAGATGAGAATTTATCTCAATGTCACTTCTGCAGACTGGACAGTGTGAGGTGGTGGTAAGCAGTAAGAAGGATGGTGTGGGGACTGGATGCCAGCGCTGATCATGTCCTCAGCAGTAGATGCCTTCATCTGGCCAGCTGAATCACATGGAATTACTTGCACATCCAAATAGATGCTGGCTGCTGGCAGAAAAGGAAACACACTGAAGAGATGCATTTGCCCTGATACCCATGAGGTAACTCATTATAGCCCAAGGACGCACCGGCAGAGCTGCCATTTGTTGTCTAGGGTGAGTGGGAAGTGAGAAGATTGCCATTTTCCAACTATTAGTTAACCTGAGCAGCAGCGTGGTTCCCAGCTGTCATAAGAACAAGTGTTTCTTCAGTTGACATTGCAAAATCACCGAGCCTGGATCTGGAAATGGCAGACTTCTGCTGATAGCACCACAGCTTGGCTGGCTGGGAGGCTGCTTGCTATCTGCAGATGCTAGCTATTTTGCTTCCAAACATCTCAATTTCCCTGTGCTCCACTTGATTACACACTGCCAGATGGCACAGCAAATTCTGCACCAACTCCACAAACAAACACAAAGAGGGCTTCAGGCAGGAACTGTATGAAGAGATGATACTGCAGGTAACCCTGCTGTCTGGCCAGGTACGTGAGACTTCATGAGAAGTTGATAAATAGCTGGATGGAGGAGAAACACCTGCTAGTGCTTTTAATGAGGGCAAAGGAACAGAGACTAGAAAGTTGATGTGGAGCAAAATGACAGAGGGAAAGGCACACAAAGTCTTGCTTTGCTGGAATGTTTCTGCAATTTTTACAGTTTTTTTGGAACACCAAAAAAATCTAACCATAGAGTGGGTAATTTGTAAGAAAGCAAGTTTTCTTCATCCTGCTGCTTGTGGAACAAATGGTTTAAAAATATCTATTACAGATTAAAGTGGTATTTTGCAGTGAGGAAGATTTTGAAGTGCTTTTAAAGCATTTGGTAGAAAATGTAGGATGACTTTTTGATGCATATACTAGGTCTGTTCACAGAGGTCCACGTTCTTTTGAAGCTCTGTGTCCCATTCTGTCCAACACAACTGTAACATTTCCAGGGTATTACCACAAGCCCATAAACACATCAGAAAACAGACTGCATTAAACACCTGAGCTCATCTGCTGTTTAATCATGTCTGCACTAGCTCTCCTGCCAGCACAATGAGCTGACTCCAGCTTAGGCCAGCCTTTTCATTTGGGTGAAGTCCAAACCTGCAAGCGTGTGAGCATCCAGCCTCTTGCGAACGTTTCTTTTATCAGTAAATCAGACACCCGTGTTGTGCATCTTAAAACGTGTCAAAGCTCTACAGGGTGCAGCAGATGGGTCCTCAAGCACAAACAGCTGCTTTCAAATTCTCTTCTTCCAGTATCTCCTAAGCAAAAGCATAACCTTCCCCTTGAGGAGCTGAGAGGGAGAGTAAGAGTCTGTGTGCTTTGCCAGGCCCCTGGCAGATCGAAATTCCCCAGCTAGCACTTTTAACCCAGCAGCCATTAAGCTTTTACAACTAGAAGCCATGTTCACAGCTGCTGACAGAAGTTTTTCTGGTGGTGGAAGTTGAACTTGACTGCTTGAAAGCCTTTTAATTGTAACTTGCAGGTTTGGAGCTACAAAGTGCTATTCCCTGCCCTTACCACCAGTGCAATCCAATTCTATGACTACTGAAAATGTATTTCAAAAGATACTTGGATAATTTAATCCAGAGACTTTTCCAGCCAGGGAAAATCAATTTCCTTTGTCTTTAAGAACTTCAAAGAGTCAGGGCTAGAGCTGCAGGACTTAAACCCTCCTTATCTTCAGCTGCAATGTCCTGACTGCCGGGTGAAAGTGAATAGCAAGAGAATCTTAATGGGAATTACCCTGTCTCTTTTTTCTTTGTTTCTTCTTTACCATTAGTTGGTACCTCAAATGGAGCAGAAGGGATGTTTCTGTGCATGTGCAACCACAGAAATGGTGATAGACACGTGCTTAGAGTCCTTGTGTTCCAAATCAACATATTTCCACGTTTTTCACCTCAGTAAACAGCATATTGCCAAACAAACTGAAATGCCGGGGGATTCTTACTTTGAAGACAGAACAGAAGGGTTTTCTGTTTGGTTTACTCTGGGTGGAGTTGGGTGGAGGAAGCAGTCTTTCCCCTTTTTAGCTGAAACAAACCCAATTATTTGCACTTACATTGCTCTGAATGCACCTTGCTTTGTTGGCTGACTGCTGTTTGGGCAGGTATGTAAATTCAGACCCACCTTGAAAGAAAATACAGTTTTGGTTTGACACATCTGACCAGCATTCGGTGCTGGGAAATTGGCCCAACAAACAGACTTTGTGTGCACTCTACAATGAATAGGGATAGAGCATCAGCCTGTGAGCTTTCTCGTGCCCAGAGGCTGGCTGGTGGGTTTGTGCAAGGTGCTTGCTGAGGGAGCCTTGTAGCAGGTGGCACAAGCACCCAGCTCAGGGGGTTGGAAACATAAATAATAAATACTTTTTAAAAAATGTCATTTATTTTGCAGACTGGATTGTTTTCTGCAAGTGTTCTGTAAAGGGTCTTTGCTGTCATTTGGAGCTACATAGGCACCTAGTGTCCTGCCTGGGGTTCCTGTTGTACAAAGAAAGCAAAAGGATCATCTCTGTCCAGAAAGCTTAGTCATGCCATGTTTCCATGCTTGAAGGTTGCTTTTGCCTTGCCGTGACCTTTATTTCGGTGGGAGTCATGCCTACAGGCAGGTAGGTAGCTCTTAGCCTGTGCTGAAAGCAGAAACTAAAAAATGAAGTCTACATGACAAGTTGCTCCTTAAATATATTTTTGTAATCTGTAAAATCTGATGATGGTCATGCAGCAGAAAGGAAACCATTAAACTTGAAGACTCAGTCACGTGAAAGTGCTCAGGCAGAATTGTAGTGGTTCTTGGGCCCTCAGTGCTGGCACCAGTGTACATGGGCTCGACCAAGCTTGCAGTGGGAGATGTTACAGGGTGGGGACCTCACCAACACCAACCATCTTGGATATGTAGTGGTGGTTGCAAAGAGAGCATCTGCAACCTCATCAGTGTGTGGGTGTTTGATCTTCGCATTGATAATATCACCCTAAGCAGATGACCTAAGACCTATATATTCCTTCCAGATGTCCACTGGTTCAGTTCACTCAGAAGCCATAGATATTTTTTTTAAGACATTAGCCTGTTCCTGCAAATCACTGAACTCTTGAGAATAGTATTTGCAATTCAAAACTTATCTAAAACATTACCAAAAAGAAATACTAATTCCTATTTTTTGAAAATTATTTTGTTTTATGGATCTTGCAAACAACTGAAATATGGCATGTCCAAGAAACATGAATTATCCACCATTTCATAGACTTTGCATTAATCACATTTAAATACTAGGTGCCTGACTTCAGAAGGTTCATGCAAAATCCAGCTATAAAAACTCACCACAAAATATTTTTAAGGATAAAAAGCTAATGTTTTTTAAAGCTCTGACAGACAGCCAGTTGTGAAGATGAATTTTAAAACTAATGGTTCACATTTTCTGAAGGACATTCAAAAATATAGTCATTAAACTTCCTGTAAATGCCCAGCTCTTATCTATACTTTGCATGGAATGTTTGCCAAAGCTGTAACTTTGGACAGTTAATGGAATATATAACTTCCTGAAGTAGTGCCAGAGATAACATAATTGTCTTGCCATAACTGTATAATGAGAACTAAATAATCACAAACCAAATTCCTATTATAAAATTACTTTTGTTTTTGTTGGTTATTTTTTTTCTCATGTACAAGATACATATTCATTTATATTGAATATAAGTCCAGTAATACCATCACATTAATGTGCTATAGTGGTTTTCATAGTGAGAAAACTGCCCTAAGAATTTTTAACATGCAAAGCTTGGAAGAACCAGAAATTCACAGTAAGTAGTACAATTTTCTACATCTTCTACCATCCTGAAGCTAACCAGAACACTCAAGACTGTTGGCTTATTTTTCCTATATGTTAGACAAAAGCTGCAGTTCTGCATACTGTACATTCATGGTGGGAACCCAGCCCCCTATACGATCTGCAAGAAAGATTAGTTTACTGCTTTCCATCAAAGTAAACATTCTAATGTTTAATATAATAATCTTGTCAACCGTTGTTCCTAGCTTGAAGTTCAGCTGTTCAGGACTTGACAAAATTCTCCTTTTCATCTTCCTGAGAGGTTTCTTGCTAGCGCATTTTGTAGTCGTTAGATACTGACATTTCACATAGCTGTCCTTTAAAATCCAATTCTACTGTGAAGTCCAGGTCACGCTGTAAAAATATTTAAATGTAACATGTAAGTAAGACTGTAACTTTAGTGTATGAAGTCAGTCAAAAAGACTTGCAGATTCAAGAGATACCTAAGGTGGTTTTTAAGTTATTTTGTCTTTAAATGTTGCTAACACTGAAAAAGCAGGATATATAATGCCATTCCCAATTCACTCGAGGTGCAGGGTATACTTGTGTATTCTTCTTAAGGCTGATTAAAACTGTTCTGGTTACAACTAGGAAGCTTCTGAAATGCTGTGTTATCATACTTATTCTGTAAACATTTTTTAATGGTATACCCCATTGAGATGCTCTTAATCCAGGGAAACTGAGAGTTTTTCCTGAATAGATCTAGTAAACTTCCCATTATAGAGAAGCCCTCAGCCATTCTTTATCTTATGATGACTTTTTTTTTTTTTTTTTTTTTTTTTTTTTTGAAAGAGGCACTATATAGGGCTACAAAATGAAGCTGTCTCTCTCCAAGCTTTTGAAAAGCCTCATGTTTCAGAAGAACAAAGCACTAACAAATTCTTTGGAACCAAGGTGGTCTCTCTGTCTTATGACAACTATCCAGAACACATTAATTTTAGCACCTAAATCTGCATGCAGATGGTTACTGCTGCACAAACAAATTTGAAATATTTTCATTTTTCCCTCAAAAGAAAATCAATACATTCAACCCAAAATAAAATGTTCTGGTTCTCTAAGGACAACATAGAGGTGGGAAACAGGCTCATTTTCTCTATTTTCACAGCAAGCAGTAGTCTCAGAAATTAATGTCATTCTTTTAATGCCAACTTTATTTTGTGTTTATTTCTGTACCAACACTATGGAAACTATCTGTATTTAGTACAAAAAAAGGAAAAGTAATGCAAAAAATGGAAGGCAATAAATGTTAAGATTTCCTGCAGTCAGCAAATGCAATATTTCAACTATTACAAGTGAATGGATGAATTATAACCAGGTTATTTTAATGGCTGTATGTTGTAATAGAAAATGAAGAGATTCAGCGCTTTTTGTCAGAAAATGGTACCACTGTTTCTCCTAGAAGACATACTTCTTGTGTCTTCCTCTTCTGTATGGGCATGGGTTATCACAGAATCATGGAACGTTAGGGGTTGGAAAGGACCTCTGGAGATCACCTAGTCCAACACCTCTGCCAGAGAAGTTTCACCTAGAGCAGGTTGTAAAGGATGGTATCCAGGTGGGTTTTGAATGTCTTCACAGATGGTGACTCCACGACCACTCTGGGCAGCCTGTTCCAGTGCTCTGTGACCCTCAAAGTAAAGAAGTTCCTCCTCATGATTAGATGGAACTTTCTATGTTCAAGTCTGTGCCCATTACCTCTCATCCTGTCACTGAGCAACACTGAAAAAAGACTGGCTCCATCCTCCTGACACCCACACTTCAATTATTTATAAGTATTGATAAGATCCCCCTTCAGTCTTCTCTTCTCCAATCTAAAAACTCCCAAGTCCCTCAGTCTTTCCTCATAAGAGAGATGTTCTAATCACCTAATAATCTTTGTAGCCCTTTGCTATACCCTCTTGAGCAGTTCCCTGTCCTTCCTGAACCAGGGAGCCCAGAACTGGATACACTACTCTGGATGTGGCCTCAGCAGGGCAGTTTTCTTGCTCTTGGGGATATATTAAACCTGAGCCTAGAGGAAGTGGTACTTCAATATCAACGAGCTCTCTTGAGCTCCCCTACTTTCCATAACCCTTTTCTATGGGATTTCTCCAAGCAGTTTCTTGAAGAGGTCAAAGTTAGCCCTCCTGAAGTCCAAGGTTGCAATCCAACTTACTGTTTTGTGCATACTACCCATCCTGAACTCTGTCTTCTCATGATCACTACAACCACGGCTGTCCCTAACCTTAATGTCCTCCACAAGTCCCTCTTTGTTTGTTAGTACTGTGTAGTAATGTACAGTAGTATACTTCTCCTTGTTGCCTCCTCCATCACCTGAGTCAAAAAGCTATGGTCAACTTCCTGGGCTGCAAATGCCTGGCTATGTGGCCTTCCCAGCAGACATCAAGGTGAATGAAGTCCCATAAGAACCAAAGCTTGTGATTATGAGGCAACTCTCAGGTGTCTGTAGAAGGCCTCATCAACTTCCCCATCCTGATCAGGTGTTCTGTAACAAACACTCACAACAGTGTCTCTCATATTAGCCTACCCGTTAATCCTTAACCTTGAGCTCTCAACTTGCTCTTCATCCACCCCCAGGGCTTATTTTTCCTTAAAAGGATGTACCCATCCATGACAGCATTCCAGTCATGCAAACTATCCCACCATGTCTCAGTAACTGCAATAAGATCATGGCTCTGTGATTGCACACAGATCTCCAGTTCTTCCTGTTTATTCCCCATACTGTATGCATTAGTGTATAAGCATTTCAGAGAGGCAGTTGAGCATGTAGTTTTCACCTTTGAGGGATGGTAGACCTTCTGGTTCTCAAAAATACTAGCACACTGCCCTTCAAGTGCTGAGCTACTACACGCAGGTGCCTCTCTAGCAAGTCCAGTTACATCCCCATTCCCCTTCAAATACAGTTTAAAGCTCCCTCAATAAGCCCTGCTAACACTTGTCCTACAACCTTTTTCCAGTTGCGAGATAAGTTTTTCCCATCTGTTGCCAGCAGGCCTGGTGTCTTGTAAATCAAGTCATGGTTAAAGAACCTAAAGCTCTTTGACCATGTCAATCAGACCATGTCTCATAGTCTTCTTGCAACTTAAAAGAAGCACTGAATAGCTGAACATACCTGGTGAGGGAGTCAGCCCAAGGCAGAGGAATTGAAGTTTTCGGCAGTCATGGTAATGTGACATCCATTATGCTTTAGTTTTAGTCTTAAATAAACCAATCATTCTGTGTTGGCAAAAGGGATCTTACCACTGATTTTGGTGACAGTATGAAGAGTCCCTTGACTACTTGTGTTACAAACTGTTAGGCAAGACAATTGCAGAGTGCAGCTGACTTTGTTATATATTGAATAATTACTTCCATTCCATTGTAGCTTGTTTGCAGGCTGCATTCTCTAACATTAGCACTGTATTATTAGTGCTGTAACCAGCTTTGATGAAATTGTGACTGGAGCTCTTACTAACAATTATTAATTTAGAATCCTTAACATACTCATTATTTTACTCATATGCAATTTATTTACTGTTGATTATAGTTTGTGATCAATAGAGTTGGAACTAGAATCAGTGATTCTGACTTACCACATTTTTTGCATTTGGTTTCATGGATATAGTCCCATAGATTTCTTCTCCTCGTCTCACAGTTAAATAGTCCTCTAAGTAGAATACAGTTTGCTTCCAGTGAGTATAGGGAGCATCAGGTGCTAAAATATATATATGGGTATTATTTACAGAATTTTCATCTTTGCCTTATAAATCAAATTAAGACTTGGGAACAACAGAAAAAAAGTCTTCCTTTTCAGAATATGCTTTAATTTATATACTATATCAGAAAACATGCTTTGCAATAACACAGGTTTATTGACTTTCATTGGGCTGTCTTCTTATTTTTACTGGAATGTGTGAGATGTGAATCACACCCAGCGAGAAGGATTTCACAAAGGGGGTTACTATGCATGACAGGTGCTTTCTTGATGCTTTCCTTTCAACCCACACACATTTAAATTGAGGAACTCTTCTAAGTGCTTTGAAAGTCAGAAGTCTAAATTAGTTCAAAAGACAATTACATAAAACCATGTAAGAAAGGCTCATAAAAAAATATTAATCACAATCGCATAGATGAAATCTTTGACTCATGATCCCACAACAGCATATGTTATAATTTCCAGGAGGATAGAGCTGAGGAAAGGGTACTTGCACCTTGATCTGGTTTTGGACTTTTAAAAGGCATATGCTATAGGCAATTTGCTAGAGATGGATACTGGCCTAAGTTAATTTCTAATGTTGCTTAGCAGAATCGCTCTGATTACCTGCTATTTCAGATATTAATTTTATTTATTTGCTGATGAATTTGCATTAGATATTTCTTGTTCCCATAATTCTTGCAGTGAAGTGCATCATGGAACCTAAGAATAGCTGTAAAAGTTCAGAAACGTCCTGACCTAGCAAAAAAGCCTCTGATAAATTTATTTTTCCTTCATTTGTTTCCCTAGGAATTTTTTTGATCCAGATAAGGGCCCACTGTATTGAATCAAGCTAATGACACCTTAACACAGTTTAATAAAAATTTAATTCTAATTTAATTTGAATATCAATGTTTAAAAAAATACCTGCCTTTAGAATTTTTTGTGACTGGGAAAATGATGCAAGTTTTTTAAAAAAACCTGTCAGGACAGGAATTTTTCACAGGTTTGTTTTTTTTGTGGTTTTCCTTGTTTGTTTGTGTGGTTTTGTTTGTCATTTTTGTGTTTGGTTGTTTTTTCAAAATTCTAAAATCAGAAAAATGAAGAAAAAAACTTTAGTTACAAAATAATTACTGGTTATGTGTCTAGATAGTTTTAATGACCGTTAATCTCAATTGCTGAATGGATAGATATTCTTGCAGGAGTTTAGACCCAGAATCTGTTTTCCATTTGGACATGCCTCTATAAAATTCTAATTGACAATATGTTACAGCAAAATTAAACTGAGCTTATTTTTTAAATCATAGCTACTGTCTTACATGCTCACATGGTCATGATCAGAGGGCTGGAGCACCTCTGCTATGAAGACAGGCTGAGAGAGTTGGGGCTGTTCAGCCTGGAGAAGAGAAGGCTCTGGGGAGACCTCACAGCAGCCTTCCAGTGCCTGAAGGGGCTACAGGAAAGCTGGGGAGGGGCTTCTTAGCTTCTTAGCTTCTTAGAGGGCTTGTAGTGAGAGCACAAGGGGGAATGGTTTTAAGCTGAAGGAGTAGGTTTAGATTATTGTTATGGTTTAAATAGCCCCGGCAAGGTGTTGGACACCCATAAGAGAACTAGAGAAAGGGTCTTCAGGACCCTGAATGACCCAGGAGGGTCAGAACAGGGAGGCACCAGTATTATCTCCCACTTCCTGCCGTATTCTGTAAAAGCCAGGAGAACCAGAAGCTCAGCCCCGTTTCTTCCTGCACCTTCTTCCTTGCTGCTGCTACTGCTCAGAGGTTGTTCAATTTGCTACATGCTCTCCAGAATCCAATGCTATCAAGTGCTGTAAGGAGCCATGAACCCCTCTTCTGAAGCAGCCGAGCTGCAAGGGACTCTGACCCACCTATTTATGTGATCCAGATTGGTTTTGTATGTATTTGTGCATATGCTTATCTATCTTTTATTTCCCCCACATGTTACTGCCTTTTCTGTGTTATAATAAGTCTGTTCAAGTTTCAATTTCCAACCCTTAAGTCTCTCTTCCTTATTTGCCTTTTATCTTCCCTTGGGAGTGTGGAGGCAGGGTAATAGGGTGAAAATCTGCCCTCTGGTTTGTGGTTTGTATTGACTGTTAAACCAGGACAGCCATTAGGAAGAAATTCTTTAGTGTGAGGGTGGTGAGACACTGGAACAGGTTGCTCAGAGAAGGTGTGGATGCTCCCTCCCTAGAGGGGTTCAAGCCCAGGTTGGATGGGGCTTTGAGCAACCTGGTCTAGTGGGAGGGGGCCCTAGCCATGGCAGGGAGGGGTGGAACTAGATGATCTTTAAGGTCCCTTTCAACCCAAACCATTCTAGAATTCTGTGTGCACATGCCCTTATGCAGAGCTACCTTCCTTAGCCAAGCCTGACATATTTTGAAACTTGTGCTCCACAAACAGGGGGTGTGTGTAATGTAGGCACAGGCTTCAAGTCCACTACCAATGACACACTTATTTCCTTCATAATAAAAACCCCCTAAAGATCTCAATGAAGTAGGACTTCTTTGTATCCTACAAGCTTTGATATTTTTGTGAATTCAGTAGATCTTTGCCAACAGACACTTGCTGAGAATCCAGATCAGTCTTCTAGACAGTGGTGTCTGTTCCTTCAGTTACAGAAGGCTAAATGACCTTTTTATGGAGTAGCTTGTTCCACACTTACCTTGTAATGATGTGCTAAATTGAGGCAGAGAACCACTTCCCTCAACCTCCTGTCTAAACTGATGCTGATACCAGTGAGGATGATTGGTGAGATTTGCTACAAAGGAGTTCTACTGACTCATGTTCTGTTTGTTGCTCACCAGACTCCAAGAGTCTTTTCCAAGAAAGTTGATTTCTGTCCAGTTGGCCCAAGCAATAGCATGGAGTTGTTTGGTCCCAGATGCTGGACTTTGCATTTGGCTATACTGAACTTTATAAGGTTCTCACCAGCTCATCTTTAACCTGTATAGGTATCTCTAAACAGCAGCCTTTTCTCTCCAACCTATGTTTTTCTCAATTTGGAATCATCACAGCTTTGCTGAGAGCACACTTTCTCTCATCATCCAGGTAATTCATAAAGATGTGGAACAATATTTACCTCACTGTTGGTCTCCTGTGGGTTGCTACTAAAAACTAGCCTCTGGTTTGACTTTGCTGATTGACACATTTTGAGCCAATTTTTCACCCATGTTATTGTTCAGTTACTGAGTCTGTATCATTCTAATATAGCTGTAAGGATGCTATGCAAGGTTGTACAAAAGGCCTTGCTAAACTCAAGGTATACAGCAGCACTGATCTTCCCTCCTTGTCAAAGCTAGTCATCTAAAAGGCAATCAGATTGGTCAGGTATTATTTGCTACCTGTCCTCAATCACCTTCTTGTCCTTCATATAGCTGGTAATAGTTTCCAGGTGGATTTGTGTCATAACCTCTCCAGGAACTGAAGTGAGGTTGACTGGCCTGTAGTTCCATAGATCCTGCTTACTGCACTTCTTGAAGATGTCAAAGGGTAACCTTACAATGTCAATGACTAGCATGCTTGGATGCCTCCTGTCTGGTCTTGTTTAAGGTTCTGTAGTCCTGATGGCATACCTTGAGACACAACTCATGTACTATCTGTTTCCTGTTATTAAAACCATACTTCTCCAATGGCTGCAAGGCATGTCTTCCATTATTTTAAATACTTTGAAAAACAATTAACTCCTCCACATGAATGATGCTTCTCTTATTGCAATTAGAAGGACACCACATGGGACCTATAGGAAACCCTGGACCAAGTACTGTGCAGAGGAGTCACAGCTAATTGGTTCCCCAGGGCTTCAGAGTGGTTCCTAAGATCTGCTGTAATTGGTGATATGGCTGTTGCCTCATTTGCATCAAAGAAGGCCAGCATGAACTTTGGTTTTACAAGAAGCCCTTGTCAAAAACTAACAAACAACTTGAACACGGACTTGAAACTCTTATCTGCATGGGTATATGCCTAACAGCTCTTCCTCACTTGTATGCAATAACATCCAGCCTTTTTATTCAGTGGGCTACACATCCTACTGAAGAAGTTAGTTACTGACGTAAAATGTTTTGAGAAATGGCAGTAAAGCAAAAAATTGAATAGGAGAAATGTAGCATTTGCCAAGTGACAGAATTAAGAGACATAAGAAGCCTCCTCAAGGTGGCTGAGCCACTAAGAGGTCACAGTAAGAGTGATGAGAAAGGGCAGGTCATCAAAGATTGAAAGGATCCTAGAATGTGGGAGTGTATGACTAAGCATTCAGAGCCTCTGAAGTAGCAGCCTGTGGGAGCTACTGGTAGTGTGCAGAAGCTAGGGCCACAAAGATGATTTGAGGGCTGGAGCATGTCTCCCCATGAAGACAGGTTGAGAGAGTTTAGGTTGTTCAGCCTTGAGAAGAGAAGGCTCCAAGGAGATCTCATAGCAACCTTTAAGTATCTGAAGGGGGCCTGCAGTAAAGCTGTGGAGGGACTTTTTACAAGGACATGTAATGAGATGACAAAGGGTAATGGTTTTATACTGAAAGAGGGTAGATTTAGGTTAGATATTAGGAAGAAATTCTTTAGTGTTAGGGTGGTGAGACACTGGCACAGGCTGCCCAGAGAAGCTGTGGAAGCCCCATCCCTGGAAGTGTTCAAGACCAGGTTGGATGGGGCTCTGAGCAACCTGGTCTAGCGGAAGGTGTCCCTGCCCATGCAGGGGGGTTGGAACTAGATGATCTTTAAGGTCCCTTCCAGTCCAAACCGTTCTATGATTCTATGAAGTCACATTCTCCATATGAAAGACCTTTCATAAGGCAATATAAGTAGACCTCCTTTACTATGCTAGGTTCCATTTAACAATACAGTAACTACACCGTTCATTCAATACTATTTTTTACATCAAACTGGAGGTTTGACTATAATATTTTAGAAAGGATGAATGGGCTGCCTTCTGCTGAAAAAATGTGCTTTCTGTGGAAGAAGTAAATGCCTAGAACCTCAGGTGTTTTCCCCCTAAGATAATTTTATTCAGCATGAACTCAGAAATATTAGCACTTCAGGATACCACTACAGTGACTCCCAGATTGTTCATGTCTCCTGAGTTACACTTTGTTTCCCAGCACATACTGATGCCTATCATGGTGTGGAAAGTACTCTAGTACAATACATTTATAGAAAGACTAGGAAAATATGAATACTGAAAAATATAATATGAGGTACCAAATAACCATCCATGGGGTTATACTTCTAGAATCAAATATAAATATTTTAACAAAGTACTTTGAGCTTTGAATCTCCTGTAAAAGGTTGAAGGCTTCTGTGAAGGGAGAAAAAAAAAAAAAAAAAGAAATTTCTAATAATATTTAACTTACTTCAGGTCAAATTTATGCCTGTTTACGTTTTGTAACAGTGTTAACTTCAATTAGCACCAATTGTAGTCGGTTGTTCTTGTAACTAAAGGTGTCATGAGGTTTTTACATTTCTTGCAACACTGGCTAGTTTATTTACTTTGGTAAATGAAACCTTACAGGAGTGGAGTTATTCCTCAAAATATCTGCTCACCAAGCTAAACTACAGATTCACATTTGGGTTGTTAGGGATCATTTATGTAAGCAATATTTGTGTGGTTTTATCTTGGAAAAAAATGATGGTTTTGTTTGAGTCTTTAAGAACAGCAAGAGCTTTTGTTGAATTTCGGATTTGGGGGAAACTAGGTTGCAGAGCTGCTCTCTCTCACTGAGCTGACAATTACCTGTCTAATCTGAGAAACCTAACACAGGATTTAAATATAACTGGTGATAGGCATGAACTCCTGGTTCATAATTCCCACTGAATTCTAAGCTTGGTAGCCATTTTGAAATCCTTCCTCTCCTTTTGCAGAATTCCTATAAGCAGTTGTCATTTCCTCATCCCACTCACCTCCCCCACAGGACAATAACTTTTATCACTGAAATTAAAAGCTGGCTGTTCAGTAAACCTTCCTGTACCATCTGACCAGTAGCACTGATATACTGATAGCAACAGAAATTAAATTAAAAGAAATGCAGATTACCTGTAGAAAATCCCATCTTCTTGTGGCACTTTGTAAATTCAATATTAAAATAGGTCACCAAGGCATGAATGTAATCATTACGCTGAACTTGGAGGCAGAATGCAGAAGTAAATGCCAATTCTTCAGTCTTCACTGTATAAATATCTACTTCCTGTTTTGAGGAGAAAGAAAAAGGCGTTTGCATGTAGATGTCTGTGACTCTAAGGTAAGTGTTAAGTGATGTATTTAAGCATTTATTTAATGAGCAGCAACAAAGACACCTGGCAGCCCTTTAACACTGTAAGAAATCAATGGTACATATGAGTAATCTATGTAATCTATGATTTCATGATCAACAAATGATCCAGTTATCTGACTAAGTTGAGACAGTGAAGGGAGGCCACTCACAGAACAGTGTATGTCCTTGGGAATGGCAGGGAGGGGCTGTGGGAGCTGGAGGAAATCGAGGAAAAAATGTGCTTTGGCAAATATAAGCAAAATGGAAGCTGAAAAGGAGGCACATGTCCCAGTTCTAAGACCTTTCTTCATCAGGAATTGTCAGCATGAGGGAAGATGGCAGAGTTGTGTCTTTAATAAAAATAAACTTCTGGTTTTTTTGAGAATCTCTGGAAGGGGATGTGCTTTGACTGTGTCAGGCAATCAAAACATCTGAGGCATGACAGGGGCTCACGTTTTGCTGGCAATGTCCTGTGTCAGATAACCAAATTCCAAATAGAAAGCACAGGGATCTTAATCTTGAACTAGACAGAAGTAGATCATGTAAATCGTACTATGGCCTGATTGGAGTAGCTGGGAGCAATGATGTAGTCTTCAAGATTGCTTATTTCCATCAATATTTAAATCTCACTGTTCAAGACTTAAACTGAGATTTTTAGACAGATTTGATTTTCCCAGCTAGGCACTGCTTTTATCTGGGTTGTTTCCTAAACTTGTAGCCATGATAGGGATGATACTAAGTCTGAAATACTATTAATTGTATTCTGATGCTTCTAGTGGAAATGTTTCCTATCAGTGTGCTTTCTGATATCATCCTAAGTGTATCTGACTTCAGAGTTCTTATTATCCTTGTCAGGGCATGTTTGGTAAGAGCCAGATAACCCCACAATATTTTTCTCTCTATCATTCTGAAACTCAGTATTAGCAACAAAACTGCTCATGTATGCAGAGAAATCTTTCCTACTAACATAAGCCAGGAATCATATTACTGACTTCACCAGCATTGCCTCAGACTCACAATGCAAAAATAGAGTTGAGTTTAGAATGTCCATTAGAGGGCTCTTTCAGCCTCCTTCAGGGCACAATAGGGGGCTCTTTTAGCAATTGCATACTATAAAAGAAGTCTGCAAAAAAAGCCATGAAAAGATGTAGTCATATTCAGTTACCAAGGTCTTTGCATGTACCAGTTATGATGTGTTTCTGAAACTTAAAAAAACCTTATGGTGAGAAGATTTAAGCAACCTATGGTTTTGGCCTGTCTGATTAGAAATACTGTTCAAGAACAACAACCATTATGAAAATTACTACACTGTAATAGCATCCTGATTCACTAGTGCTAATTGAAAGCTAGAATAGATTTAACACGTTTTTGGGTTTTTTTGTTTGTTTGTTTGTTTATTTTTTTTTCCTCAAAAGAAGATAAAGAGAAAAAAGAGAATAAGAATTTCTGAAGTCTTCTGGCAGACTCCAATAGCAGCCTGCAAAGTTTGCTTTGACAAGCTAAACTGGACTGGTGGGGGTCACAGATGCAGATTTCTGTAATTTTTGGTGGCTTTTTAGTGGTATTGCTATGGGGACATTGTGAATTAAGTCCAATGATAAGGCACATAAAAGGGATCTAGCTCCCACTCTCTGAGCAGTGTTGGCTCTGCAGGGTAAAGTCAAATCAAGAGCAGTAGGAAGTATTTTTATTAAAGAAGTTAGTGAAATGTCTCAGAAATATTGAACAGATGTACTGGATAAAATAGTGGTCCCTTTTGCAGAAATTTTCTTGAGGACAGAACAAGTTGGGTTTTTTTACTGTGCAAAATATGAGACATATGTGGGTTTTTTTATTAATTGATGTAGTTTTGAAACTGGCTTGATCACATTTTGGTGATCTCTCTGTGGCTACTATACATTCTTATACAAAGTGCCACTGCTCATTGGATGTTAATTACCGCTAACAGCACCGGGGACAAATGCTGTCTTTGCATAAAGTAAGTTGAAAAGTCACGATTTACCAGATTTCAAAAACAACAACAAAATGGCCATAGGTAAGCAGGAATCTGATCAAAATACAGCTCTTAATTATACCAAAAAAAATGTAAATGTGTTAAGCTGAGCAGCAATATAAGTGTCAGAATTATCAGTCAAATAAGGAGCTCCAGACTTCGACGCTGCATGAAAGACCATGGAACAACCCATACTACATGTCCCTGGACAGACAGAGGTCCAGTTTGTACATTCACTGCATCAAGAATGGTACTTAGGCTGTCCTGTGACAAACGTTCTAGGACTGAGCAAATGATGGACCGAAGATCATTTAGATTCACAGGGATGATGACAATGAGGTTAAGATTCCATGTTGCCAGCTGCTATATATTTCTGGTGTTAATTATATCACTCTACCTGAAGACAACCTAACTAGTGAAAGGAACAGTCTTGAAACACAGGTTGCTGATGGGGAAAATGCTGACTTGCTGCCTGAACTGTTTCCTCATGCAAATTGTAACTCAAGTTGCTTCTAGAGTGCCCCTGCACCTCTTTTCTGATCCCTTTCCCAGTCAGTTGGCTTACTCAGATAGGATTTTATGAGAATGGAGGTAAGTTAAAGATTCAACTGTAAGTGACTATCTGGTTTTGGTGGGGTTTTTTGTTTGGTTGGTTGGTTTTGGATTTAGAATTGGGTCTTCCCCCTTCCTTTCTCCCCTTGAACTAAGTGTCTTGGTTTGGACAAAGATGGAAATGGTAACCCCAACATAGGGTGTGACAGAGAAGGCAGTACTAATTATGGCAGGCAGACAGGTGGCATTGGTACAAGCAGTATGTCCAGCTTCAGGAAAAGAATTGACCTGAAAGCTGAAAAGTAAAATTAATTGCTAAGGGAAGGAGAAAGGGTCAAATGTCCTTTTCTGACGAGCATTAAAGACCCGACTTTTATTGTCAGTTGCACACATACATACATATGTGAGAAGAGCACTGAATGCAATAGTCAGCCTGCAAAGCACATTCACCCTCTCCTCTCCTCTCCTCTCCTCTCCTCTCCTCTCCTCTCCTCTCCTCTCCTCTCCTCTCCTCCTCTTCTCTTCCTTTCTCTTCCCCTTTCTCCTCTCCTCTCCTCTCCTCTCCTCTGCTCTCCTCTGCTCTTTGCTCTTTGCTCTTTGCTCTTTGCTTTTTGCTTTTTCTCCACCTCTCCCCTCCTCTCCCCTCTTCTTCTTTTTCAGAGTGCAGAGAACTGACAGTATTAATGTGGAGAAACAAGAAAAACCATTAAATTCTGACTATTTCAGGGAAGCAGTGAAAGGAAAAATGGAATATTTGAGATTGTTTTGACTAGATATTACAGCATACCTTGGTTTTCTATTAGATGTAATAACAGGGAAGCAAGTGTAGCTATTGCTTCTAGATAACAGAGACCTCAGCCTCCTGCCATGACCTCTCTTCTGTCATCTTTTCCTGTTTGCACAGAAGGAAGTGCTTGAAAATTACTAGACTATGGTTTAGGTTTTTTGGGGGAGGGCAAGAAGATAAAAGGAGTTAAATCTGAGAATGCTGAAAGGAAGACTGTGGGGAGAACTGCTGGAAAGGAAAGAGTAACAGGAAAGTCACTTAGGAAAGGGAAGCAAGATTTTCAAGTGGATAAAAGAGTAGAGAAGAAAAAATGAGGAAGAAAAGAGCAGTATTTGAAGAAAGATGGAAAATGAGTGGCATAGGTGTCTCTTGCTTGGCTTTAGGAGAAGATGGGAGAAAGGACTGTGAATAGGGAGTTCACTGAGGTTGCAGTGGAGCAAGAGAAGTCTCATGAGGAATGCCTTGACCTAAGTCTCATGGGTGAAGGAGATGGGTCTCATCAGTGCTCACAGAAAAGTTCCTTTTTTTTATTATGCTGTGTTCTCTGACAAACAATAACGTTGCATAATTGTTTTTTAATTATTATTATTATTTTGTGCAGGAAAAGCAGTTTGTGCTTTCAATAGCATTTAACTATGTAATTTTGAAGTGGTGTGTGACCTTCAGGAAATTTAAACTGTTCCTGGAAAGTATGGGTCAAGTGGGAGCATAGAAGCTGATTGATTCATCTTCTTTTGTCACTCTTTCTCTGTGGCTAGATAGGGGAGGATGTTCACAGGAAAGTCCAACAGTATTTTTTATTATAAAAGGGATGTTGCATGTTCTTAATTACTATTTGGTTTTGTGAGTTTTTGCTGATCTCTCATTGCAAGTTTTCTACAGCTGTGTGAACAATTTATTTTATTTTATTTTTATTTTAGTTTCTGACACAAATTAACATGGTGAAAAAACATAAACTCTTGTATTTCTCTGCTGTGTAAGGGGATCAGAGAAAAAAACAAACAACCATTTTACTGACATTAAAACAAAACTTGGTAAGGGCAAGAAAAAAAGAAAAAAGAGCAAAAACTCTTATCAGTTTATTTTAGGAAGTGTCACTGAAAGCAATAGGCCCTCAAAACACTTGTACACTTTTCCTGAGATCTCTTATTGGCTCTGACAGTTTGAAGATGCTTTCATACCACTACCCTCCTTAATTACTTGGGAATTTAACCAGAGGACTCCTACTTGTCAGGAAAATTCCTGTGCTCCTGGAATATAATTAAGAGATAATTCAAAGGGGAATTGATTCCACCATAGAGAAGACGCTGTATTCCTTGCATGCACCACCCCCCCATGCACCTTTGGCTTAGTGGCTTGAGTTCCTTGAGGGGTGGAAGCATTCTACATAAGTGTCATGGTTACACAGAATGCAGGGGTTGATATCTTATTTTCCTGATTTTGTAGAACAATTTGAAGTATCTAAATTGGGAATTGAAACAATTTCAGAAGCACAGGGCTCTGACTGGTTTGTTAGGAATGCACCTACTGAACAATGTACAGGGAACCAAGACTCATCTGGCAGGTACCCTAAGTTAGCTGACTTTGTGTTGAATACACTCCTAAAAATGCTTTTGTGAATCTAATATGAATAAGCTATGCCATCTTGAAATGCTATAATAAACCACTTAAATAATTAAACATTATTGTTTTGCATATTCTTAAATGCTTTCTCAGGCTAGTATTATTCTGTGAATTCAGAAATAGTTTCAGGATCAAATAAATGCTCTTTATATAAATAAACCCTGTGCAAACACACACACAAAAAAGTTTAAAAAAAAAATGCAGCCTGTTTTTCCTGTTTCCATATTGCTAGCTTGAACAACAGCCTTCCTTCTTCCTGCCTTTAATTGACTATTTTATCTTTTTTTTAGTGATCAGTTTGTAAGATGAGGGACAGATTCTGGAATGCAGAGTGGCTTCTGCTTGTGTAGTTATTGTCTGTTTCACTTCCAAGGTGTCACTGCATTGTATAGAATCATAGAATGGTAGGGGTTGGAAAGGACCTCTGGAGATCATCAAGTCCAAGCCCCCTGCCAGAGCAAGACCATCTAGGGCAGCTCACACAGAAATGTTTCCAGACAGGTCTTGAAAGCGTTAAGAGAAGGAGACTCCACAACCTGTCTGGGTGGACAAAAGATGTCAAGCTATATAGAGTTAAATATGAAACCTGAACAGGAAGTGTTTGAAAAATTTTGTCTGTTTTCTGAAACCTAATTACTTTAAAAAACCTAAAGAAAGCATTAGATTTGCACTTCAATTAAGGGCATACAGCTTTTATGGCTTTTTATTCCAGAGAAGCCAACTCATTTTGCCACCTGATCTCCCACTCTCCAGACATATTTTATGCAGTCTGAATAGCTGTTTATTTTATGTGTATTGCAATTTTAAATTGCTTTGGCTCAGGCTGTTTTCAGACACAACCACCTTGTGTTCCCCTCAGTGCATATAGACTGTGCATGCACACATATACAGAGTTTCTAATTCTTTTTGCTGCTTTCAGTAAAGGTTCTGCAGACTCAAGGTGTGTCTTTCCATTTGGCATATGGGAATACTTAATGCTGTGTTTGTTACTGGCGAAAGTGAAATGGAAAAATTAGAACTGAAACTTTGGCATAAATGAGCACTCTCTTGGACCTGATACTACCACTGCTATTGATACAGATAGCCTTATTAGTAAGAGTAGTCCAACATGAGGAAGATTCCTTCACATGGAAGGAATTTTAGAACTTCCATATGTTCTTGCAGGCTATGGATTCTTAACTTGGTCTTCTGAACAGGGAGTAGTGATCATTCAGCCTTATGTGTAGACCAGGGTATAAGCTGTCCTCTGGCTACAGATATTGGGGCTGGGACGTCACAGTAACATTATGGACAAGGCTAAGAATGAAGAAGTTATACAAATAAAATATGTTCTGGAGTGAATTGGAGTTATTTCATCAGAGCTAACCAAGTTGGAAACAGATGCTTCAGTCTTTTTTACTGCAAACAGAATTAATTTACCCCTTCTCCTCAGCAGCATTCCATCAGTAATTTCCAACTTCTATTTACAAGAAGGTAGGGCAATGAAAATTCATATCTAAACACACCATGTCTCTATTTATACAATATCTGCTCATGTATAATTTGTGAGGGTCTTAAGTTACCATTAGCAGTAGCCAAATGAGTAGTCACAATGCACATCTTATTTTGGGTATTTCATAAGCAATCAAGGTATCTATGGTCATGCTTAGCTCAAGTGACAGTACTAGGCATGTGCAAGGTATTAGCATTGACTAATTTAAAACTATACAATTTTCCTTCTTAGTGTGGTATGGATCATCTATGATGATGGCTTCTGCAGATAGTTAGAAGCATACAACGATAGTACTAAAAAATAAGCAGCAGGTCTCCAAAGAATCCTACAGTTAGGTGTAAACATTCATAATTAAGTATATTTGGAATTACCAAACCTTTATTAAACAGGCATTGGTCACCACTTGCTTTGGATCTACTATGTCCACCAAAGGCTCCTTCATGGCAACATCCCTAATACAGGTCATGTCAAAGCCGTACACATTCTCCCACCCTGTCAATGCAAATGGATGTGTCAAAGATTAGCAGTAATAATAAAAACACTTTTTGTTTCTCAAAACATCTTTCATTTGAAATAATTTCTACCATCCCCTAGCTTTCAGCTCTCCTCTTTAGTTCTTCTCTCCCTGCCCTCGTTGCCTATATTATCATTATTATTATTTTACAGATAACAAAGTTGTGGCAAAATAACCCCTCAATGTACACTTTGAGTAAGTGTTCCTTGTTTATTGGTCTACCTGAAACTGTGTTATAGGAGATTTGTCAATGATTTTTTATGGCTTTGGACATCTCAGATTGTTGCCCAAAATCATATGCCAGGTTGAGACTTGGGAATAGCCGCAAAGACTCTTTCATCCTTTCCTATCCTTTCTGGTTAATATTTATATATTTTTGTAGATTGCTATTCATTCAGCAGTTTGAATGCCCTTTTAGTTATTTAGGTAGTCTTAGTTTCGGCTAGTAAATCACGAGCTAGTGAATTACTGCCAGGAGTAGAATTACAGGTGCATTGCAATATTTGGGGCATCCAACTTCCAAGCTGCATGTATACAATGAAAAAAAAGCAGAATGTCCACTTTCTATAAGATTTAAAAGCCATACTGATCTTCTGTATTTGAACTGTTCTCCTGATTGTTCCAACAAATGCTTTTTGCTAAGGTTTTGGGGTTTTCTTGGTTTTGTGTTTTGTATTGTTGTGTTTTGTTTTTTTTCTTGAACAAAATGAAAACATTGAATAATTGAAAAGTACACAGACTTTGCTTTTAAGATTACATAACAAAATGAAAACAAAAATCTCCAAAAAAATGAAACATGAGTCTTATGAATCATAGGAGTCAAGCTCCATTCAGTACTCCGTCTGAAAATCTAAACTGAATACTGTGAACTTTAAAAAAAAAAAAAAAAAGTAATTGTTTGAACAGAAGCAAGGTAGACTCATAAACAGCAATAGTGAACCATGTTTGAAATGTCTTGCTTCTTCAGAGCACAGCATTTGAGTTACTGGTATTCCCATAGGACTATGATTGAAAAGGTAGTATGAGCAAAAAAAGCTGCATATTTCTAAATTGGAACACATCTGGACATGAATAGTTCTCTTTATTGGATTCTGAGTTTCTCAATATTTCAGGGGAACTGGTTATCAAAACTTTTGTTTTAGGCATCATGAGCATGTGGGAACTTTAGATTATATTTAGAGAAGCCATATGTTTTTATGTGGTTACTCAGGGAAGATTAACTAGGAATACCCTGAAGGAACAATTTATTAACAGAGTTGCTTGAGCCTCCATCACTTGATGTACTTCAGCCTATGTGGAATGCCTTTCAAATACTTCCCACAGGCTGTAGGAGACAGAGACCTATTGTAGGGGTTAAAAGTATAGGTTTTGCATTTTGCAGGAAATAAGAGTAATTGATTAATTAATAAATTTTGAGAAATCAGAAGTCATATTTTTTAGAAATCCTATATTACACTATTTCTTAATCAGTATGATGGCTCTTGAGTGCCCTTTGAAATGCTCAGCCCTCTATTTCATATGAAGGCAAGACTTTCTACCTTAAGAGAGAAGAAAGAAAGATGAAAAACAGAAATGTAAGCAGAAAAAGGAGACAAGATGGTGGTACAGACAGGTGGTGAAATGGAAATAACTAAAGAAGACACAGATGTATAGCAAGTGAGGGAAAAAAAGAAAGCATCTTAAAGGAAAACACATTTTAGAAGAGGAAAAGAACACAAAAAGTTTTCTTTTTAATTGTGAAAAAATAAATGAGTTGAGAACAGATGTATTTGTGAAAAAAGAAAAGGGCTCAAGGCCTACAAAGGAAGGAGTTCAAAAGCAAGGTGGAAGAAGACAAGGGATTTTTTTTTAGACTAAAATGACTTTGATTCCTTTATGGAAAGGATGCTTCATACCTCTTTTTAACTCTATATATTTTGTGAGAAGTGACCTCCTTTAACTGTGAAATCTGACTTGCTTTGAGTACGAGCTGAACAAGGTGACCTGTAGAGGTCACTAACAGCACCATTTATTCAGTGAAACTTCAAACCACACCCCTCCCCCCCCCCCCACAACCCCCCGTTTAAATATACAGGAAAAGTC